TTATTATTATTATTATTATTATTATTATTATTATTATTATTATTATTATTAATTCATTTTTATGAGGGAGTGCCCCTGAGTGTGGGGGCCTAAACATCGCCTGCTGAACCTCCAGTTGTTACGCCACTGTTATATTTGTTGACTAACGTGTTGAGAAATCAATGTCCATCTTTAGATTATGTGATAATTTTAGACGTTTGTTGGAAATTCGGATCAGGACACTACCGTGACAAACACATTCTCTGATCCTGTCTACGCGCAGTTTGTCCGTATTCATCCAACTGACTGGTATAACTGGATAAGTTTAAGATTTGAAGTTCTTGGATGCTCAACAGGTAAATTAAAATAATATATCAGGTAGATTTTAATCTAAAGATTACTGTACCATGATGATGTTGATTTTATTGTCCATGATATTGAGAATGATGGTGATCATAATGTTAAATGGTGATGATGGTGGTCATTAATACGGTAAATGATGTTGATAATAAATATAAACACGAATGAATTATTTAAAATGGCTAACATGTCCATTTAGGTATATAGTAATTAATTCCTCAAACATTCAGCAACAATCCAAGAAATTGAATTGAACTGAATTGTTATTTTAAAATTTCAAATTATTTGTAATATAATATAGATTCAGATTAATTACCGGAAAGCATGAGATCATGTGAAGAATTATATAGTTTGAAAACAATTCTAGATAGAAAGTGTGTAATTTCTATAATCTTATTTAATTCGTTTTAATTTTTGTTTAAATTGATACTGTACAAGTATTTGAACTAGAAGAACATATTACAAAACATGTAAAATGTTTAGGAACAAAGGAACAAGCATTTCTACGGTAATGTCACCAAATGTGTCAAATTATTCAATATTTTTATCTCAGAGTTCTGTATCGATCCACTTGGTATTGAAGATGGAACTATTTCCATGGAGCAACTGTCCGCATCCAGTGATTTTGGGGCTTCGCATGGGGCACATCGTGGACGACTGAACACTGAAGAAATTGGTTCTCAGCAAGGAGCATGGTCGTCAAGAACTAATGACCAATACCAGTGGATCCAGGTTGACCTAGGTAAGCTGCATGAGGTACGCGGAATAATTACACAAGGCCGCAACGGATACATCTTTTATCAATGGGTAACATCTTATGAGATACTTTACAGTGTCGATGGTAACTTTTTTCAACCTATCAGGAATTCAGATGGTCAAGAAACTGTAAGTGTCATTATGATTTTATTTACAATATACTTAATTATATTCATTAAATTGTTTTTATTTAAATTATTTTTTATTGACATTAATTACATGTAAGGTTGTATTCGAATACTGTGCTTAGAACACAATGTTGACCTGACGATTATGTGATATTTATAGAATTTTGTTGGAAATTCGGATCGAGACACTAACGTGACAAACATATTTCCTGAACCTGTGTTTGCCCAATTCGTCCGTATTCATCCAACTGGCTGGCATATTTGGATTAGTTTAAGATTTGAGGTTCTTGGATGCTCAGCAGGTACATTGAAACAATATAACAATTAGATTTTAATTAAAAATTAGTAGTACCGTGACGGTGGCGATTTTATAGTCCATAATATTGGTTGATACTGCTAAGCAGGTGAATTAAACAATATACATGAAGTATTGTAATAAAAATTGAGTACGTTAATATAGTGGTGATAGTGATTATGATAATGATGATATTGATAACTATGTTGTCAAATTTTGATCATAAATTACAATAAATGGGGTTGAAAATTTTGATTATGATTACGAAAAAAACATTAAACTTCTAAAGTAATATTTGAATATTAATGTAGGCTTATCTGCCCTAAAAGTTTATTTTAGTATAGTTTATTTTATTTACTGTACCACTTTTAAGTTAATTACTTAATTTTTTTGTGTAGGCTTGGTTGGAAACTCAACTTATTACAAGTCTTATCATCGTAATCAACAATGTTCAATAACGACCGAAAACACAACAACAAGCTGCATTAGATGTGCTGTGGTGTGTATGAGGGCGCTAGAATGCAAGTATTTTAGATACGATGGAGAATGCCACATTTATACATGCAGTAATAATGGATATTTTGTTGCCTTTCAGTATGGTTGAAATGGGCCTTCCCATTATGTCTCGGCTTTGGATAGTGTTCCTAACAGTCTGAACTTGTGTGCGTTTATGAGACATGCGCATAATTTTAACCTGTCCTGATAGGCCAATCGCAAAGTTTAATCACTATGGAAATTTATAACAATTTAGATCGTGCGTGCTTCGTGTTTCGTTGTAACAACTATCATTCTTTAGAACCGATTATCCTTAATAATGGAACATTTCTGTGTAGTAATATAATTACAAATTCGTTCATTATTTTTTTATTGAAGCCAATGAAGAAAATTTTCAATTTACTGAATAATTGTTTTGCTTATCTGTAGCATTCTTAACGCTTAATGTAGGACATTTTCCGAGTGTCCAAGTGTCCATTGGATAGTTGATAAGGTCCCAAAAAACGACAATGTAACACGTGCGTTTCAGAGAGAGCATGTTTGTTTGTGAGGCACGCTCGTATTCCTGTCCCCAAATGGTCAGTTGTTAAATTTGAAAGATACTACGGAAAGTTGTGGAAACTTTAATGGATTAATTATCTTAAGTGCACTTGTTTTTAAAATTTTAGAGCATATAAATATTTCCAATTTTGTAATAAACAGCAACGGTAGTTCTTATACAATATTCTGTCACTCATAGCGACAAGGACAACTTTTTAAATATTATACAATTCTTTAGTTTGTTCTATTTTAGAATTTAATTGTTGTCTAGGCGTCTCGTCTCATAATGTAGGATTAACAAAATCATTGAATTAGTGTCAAGAAAGAGCAACAGAGGTATTTCCTGGCTTAAAGGAGACATGACTCAGGTGTTTAGAATTATGAATGGTATTGACATTACGTTTTTGCCAGAAAAATTTCGAGTAATTCTCGAGATACCAGGGAACAATTTAATATAGGCCAAATGTAGGTCTAAATAATCATGTTCAAATGTTTTATTTAGGTAGTTAATACCGGAAAAGTCTGCCATTCGAAATAGTTCGGCTACTAGGTTTACTGCATTTAAATATTTGCTCAATTATCACTGGCAGAGTCCTAATTGTAAATTGTTATTTCGCACCTACAAACAGTTTTAATTATATGGTTGTATATACTAAGTAATTTGCAAAATCAGTTTTAAGTAATTTCATATGGATCTGAATCGGTGATCGGTGAATTCTCCAGAGACTCATCTCGTCAATTAGGGTTTAGTTTTATACTATCACTGGACACCACAGAATCTGTCTTGCTTGTAATTTGTTACAATAATTAAACAAAACACATTTACTGTGAAATTTAGCATTTTTAATGAAAACAACTTAAAATTTGTTACCCTAATTATGTTGAAAACGGAAGTTAATTTTTCACAAAGTTGATCATGAATTTTCATAACTTTACCAACTCCTATTTAAAGTTTGTTGAAATAGTAGCACAGATATTTATATGCATTTATATGAACTGAGCCGAATATGTAAAAATGACAGTTCACAATACTGTTCATTAAAATTAAATTTAAAAGGGTTTAGCTAATACTTATTTTAAAAGATAGTCGCATGTGTTGCTTTTGTAATGTAACAACCCTTCGATCAGTATTTTGTAAATTTGATTTAGTGTAAAAGTAAAAAAATTGGCATAAACAGAAATTAAAAATGACCTTAATGGTAAGACTCCGTATAGGATAGCGTTACGATATATATTTTATTGTTTATGCAGTCGTCTTGGAGATGAATCGCAACGAATATAATTTCCTTAATCAAATAATCATAATGTGGAATTATACATTTAATCGAGTCTACCAGTAACACTCGAACGTGATTTTTACAGCACAACCAATTAAAGTCATTGTTAAAATATTACAATGCTGCAGTTTCATGCGTTTCAATTTTTATCTAATCGTTGTGTGCTCAGTTACAATAACAAAAATCGATGCTGTTAAAAAAATAAAAGCATGACTTTCCCTATGTTCATGCTTGACTGCTCTACTTGGTAACACTAACTCAAATAAATATGTTATATTGCAATTCTTTGCAGATACGAAGTGCCTTGTTCCATGTTAGTCCACTTGATTGAGTGTTGTTGCTGATAATTAGCGCATGAGCAGGTGGATATAAAACGCAGTTCAAGCAACAATTCGACGACAACCAATAAACAGTCGTTGATGTGAAAACTAAACGTTGATGATGAAAAAAGTGAATCGTTGATGATGAAAAAAGTGAATTTTCTATGATAAAAAGTAAACCATCGAGGATAAAAAAAACAATGAATCGTCGATGATAGGAGTGTATCGTCGATGATGAAATAAGTGAATTTCGATAAGGAAACAAGATATCGTACATAAATTATTGTTATTGAAGTTGTTTGGTCAAGTGGAAGGGAAATACGTATTAAATTCATTTTCATAAAAATAAAAAACAGGAGAGGATACCATATTTAGGAGTACCAGTATCAATGAATAGCCCTATCCTATTGTGATTTGCTAGTGATAAAATCTTTAAACAAAAGAATCTCTTGTGAGCTTTCTTGTAAGCTTCGGTTTTTAAGAAGTATGTAATCAGTGTGAATTGGATTTTAAAATCAATTAATAATTAACTATCATCAATTATAGTAAATTATATTTATATATAAACAGGAATACATCTTATGTCAAACTTATACCCCATCTGAATGTCTTGAAAGTAGGATAATTTGTGCCTGAATCCCTGCTGAGTTAGTTCACATACAGTTTTATATAAAACATAGACCTATTATCAAATGAGATGTTATGTACGTTTATGTGTGCATTTATTATAACCTATATCACGCAATTTGCATTTTGCATGGGGTTGCGCTATGGACTGCGGTCCTACTTCACGAAGGTCGGAGCTTTGGTTCACAGAGCCGTTTGCTAAACCACAGGTAGTTATACGCCACTCACTACACCATTATCAATTCTATTTTAAAACAGCGTCACCAGCGTCTCACAACATTTTAGTGAAGGACGTCCAGCTGCCTAACCTGAGCAAATTTCGTTTTTCCAGACACATATCTTCTGTTGAGAAATAAAAAAAAATAAATAAATTTAAAAAAAAATTGCAGGTTTATGCGCCCTCTATTTCCTTTATTTTTTAAAATTTGTTTTGGCAATATACAAACATGTTGTTTACCAGTCACAGCAATAAACTCTCGCAATTACTTCGAGTGAAATTCCTAGACCTCTGGAAGTCCCCCAGTTGTAGTTGCCATGTTTCTTTGATATTTAGAATTAAAATTTAGCAAAAATAGTGTGTAAATGAAAAATATGTTGGAAATTGTTTACTTTTAAATTATGTAATAGTTATAGAAGTTTATTGGTAATTTTGGTGAAGCCACTACCGTGACAAACATGTTCTCTGAGCCTGTGTACGCGAATGTCGAACGTATTCATTCAATTGACTGGTACGAACACATAAGTTTAGGATTTGAGGTTCTAGGATGCTCAGGAGGTAAATTAAAATGATATACCAATTCCATTTTAAATAAATAATTGTGTACTCTGATAATGGTGATTTTATATGCTATAACATTGCTGGCAATGTGTGTGTATGTATTTGTACGCGGAATGTGCATGTATGCGTGAGTATACATATGTATACTCACGCATACATTCACATCCGTGATTCGGAAAAACGCATTATATCAGTTTTTGAGAATTTTGAAGTTTTTGGCTTTAGTGGCATCCTATGGATGTAATCTATCATGTGAATTGATCATATACTCCAAAAATGTTTATAAATATGAAATTAATATGAGAATTACTTATTATATCCATCCACCAAAGCAAAAAAAAAAAAAAAAAAAAAAAAAAATCCGGAAGAGTGCATTATATCAACCAAGCATTGAAAAGCGAGCAATCAACCAATCACAGAAGAGAACGATGCATATTTAATTAGTTCCCCAGCTGGTGGAAGGGCATAATAAGGCCATAATACCAAGTTTGTTTTTGATCAGAGTACAATTAATAAAAAAAGAATGCATTGTTGAAAGATAACCATGACCAAATTGTGACCATAATATAAATTTTAGTCTGTAATATTAATAATTATTATTATAACTAAGACTATTCAACAAACAAAATAAAATACATACATATCAAACTTAAAAATGATTTACTTAGACTTTTCAATTAAGTCAATGCTTCGAATTTGGATATAATATCTATGCTAAATTTACATTAAAAATGTTTAGCTATATTTAAATGAGTACACTGATCCTTATAATTTAAGGAAACAGAAATTTATAAATGGGCCTGAAGAAGTGTGTTTAGAAGTTGGGTATATATTTTTTGTTTATTAAATTCAAAGGCGGGTATTCTTCATAGTGAATTTAAATAAACTGATTATTTATGTTGTAAAAAACAACATAAACCTTTGTGTAGTGGTTAACGATAGTATTTAATTTAAATTTTACATGTACCATATCATATTTTTGGGGAAATACAACATTTATTAAATCAGATCAGACACATTTTGTAAATATTTTATGAGAGTGAATGCGATAATGTTGCTAAATAATATAAACAAAACGCCTTAAGAAACTTTCTATTTTTTAAAAGTTATTTAAACATAATGGAATTTAAACCTCTAAAGTCCTGGTGACAATTCATTTTAATTTGTTATTTTTCATTTTCGTCTTCGTGCATTGGAGACATAAAAGCTTGGATGTTAAAAAATAAACTTAAACTTAATGAAGATAAAACGGAATTTTTTAGCCATTTTCACCAAATAATCTACAGAAGTTGGGCAGTATCGTTTTTAATATTGAGTCAACTGAAATATCACCGTCCACATCTATAAAAAATCTTGGTGTTTATCTTGATTGTAATATGTCAATGTTAAATCACATTGAAAATATTTGTAAATCTGTACGATTTCAATTGAAAAATGTATCACGGATTAGAAAGTACATTACTAAAGACGCATGTTTTCATGCAGTGAGAAGTCCCAAGATATGTTTTTTAGTTTCTTTTCTCGTTAATGCTTCAAATTGCGTCCTCAAATACAATGACGTTGACCTAATTCTCATTATAAGTCGATCGTAACGTCATCACTGTAACTTGCAATGTTATTCGCCTATCCCCAGCCTCCATCATTTGTTCGTCACCGCGAAGATTGCTAAACGATGTGCGGTCTACAGAATTGCAAAATATGCGACTGCATTTTGTAGGCACATAATGAAACATTAAAATAGTACTACCATGTGATAGGGGGCGTCATATTAAAATTGGTATAGTATACTTGAAACTGTCTTCTGAAATACGCCCCTAGTTTGTGAAATACATTTTGAAAAGAGACAAAACGCTCCAATGAAACCCCGCGAATCGGACCTCTTGAAGTTCAGGCAGACGATACTCGTACATTCTGCATATTCCTAACACAGCATTGTCGTAACTATGGATGAAACAATGTCCGAAGTTGATGATAATCGTTTTAAACTGTTTGCAGAAGAAGATCTCAAGGCTTTCCTAGACTCGATGAATTAAAAAAAAAAAAATACCAAGGACACCGAGAAATTCGGAATGAGAGTGTTTGAGGCGTTTTTAACGTCTCAATGTACAACCCTTCAAAATGTAGGCCTGCGAGGTCAAGGCTCAAGCGAATCGTCGACGTTAGCTGACGACGCGAGCGAGAAAGGTGAGGAAAAACTTGACACAGTGAGTAGCCTAGGTGGTCTAGTCTATTGCCAGATTTTATCCGTCGACCCGAACCATAAAAGGATACTTTTATTCAAAGAACTCAATGACAGTGATTAAGTTTTCATTAGCAAGATATGCCATCAAAATTGAAAATGTTGACATAACGCACAGCTTAATTCATACGCACAACTACTTTATAATATCACTATAGCAACTGATGGCCATTGGAGTAAGATTAAATTTCTAATAAATACCTAACGTGATTGACTTATCTTCAGACTGAATTTGGTATAAGTAAGTTCAATTTGAATTGTTGTATGTTTTTCTATGTATGACTGTATTCCATAGATAATTCATAACATATTGTATTATGTGTATTTATGGAATATATTATATATAATTACATATTGTTAATATTTCACACTACCCTGCATATCGTGTAAATAAACCTACACTATAGTCGTTGTTATTCCTTGTATTCGTGTTTCTTGCACTTTATTAATTCATGGAGATACGCAACTTAATTAATTTTGAACAATATCATTTCTGCAGTACACCTACGTTTGTCTAATCCCTATGATTTAAAATAGTCCCAACGAATTGTAAATTTGTTGTTGTTTTATTTTTTTATTTTATTTATTTTTTCTTGAGCCATACCGGTAAATACAATGTGATGCGCTGTACAAAAATTGCCAACAAGGTTAAAAGTAATCCTTATAAACCAAAGAATTTGGATTAATATAGGTAAAACAGTTCTTAGGTGCAATACAAAAAATGTGAGTAGAGAAAATAAATAGCAATACAGAAAACAAACCTGTAATTATAAACAAAAATAACGATTTGCTAAAGGTTTTATGAACCAGCATCTTAAAAATCATTTAGAGAATAGGGATGACCGAAATCAAAATTAGTATTAGTCAGAATTAGCAAAATAAGTTTAACTTATTATTAATAATTAGCAGAATCATTTTAACTAGCTGATATTTATATATATCCAATCTAAATCCTATCTACGTGGATGTATTTTGCTAGTTCTGACCAAAAAAAAAATATATATATATAGTTTTTAGCTCCATCTATTGTTGATAATTAAATTAACCGAAGTCGTTATACGTCTTTTAATGTATCTCTACATGCCGTTCATCGTATTGG